GGCATGCATGGGGATCGTCCACGAAGGAAGTCCAATGGACAATAAATAAATGCTTAGAATTTGCTAGGGCCCATACTGCAAAAGACTACTGGGAACAAATGGTTGTACCCCTGTTTTGTACCTTTTCAGTTAATAAATACACATTTTGGTGCACTGGGAACTTGTTATTTTTGGTTGATTTAAACATCTGGTTTAGCCATCCACTCACCAGTACTTGGCTAGAGGAACAGTTGGAGGTTCCAGTTTGTATGTAGGTTTATTTTAATTTAAAATTGAAAACTTTTCAAGTAATGTAGAAACACAAAGGCTTGAGATCTAGCATGCTATTCCGATGGAGTAAAAGGGGTTCTGCGGGGTCTTAAGAAGTTTATAATCTCATTTTTAGGCCTTAAAAGTCTGAAAAATGGCTCTAAATAAATCTTCCCAGGTCTTATTTTCAGATGTTGATGTGAAGCTAACTTCAAGTTTGTTGTTGTTTGGCTGATACGTGAAGTATTTTGGTTCACTAGACCTAATATAATTGCTGTTTTATGGCCAATCAGCTTTCTGTGACTGGCATGAGTCTCCAAAATCATCAAAAACATGTTTTATTTTGGAGGAAGTGCAGAGATAGCAACCCTTAGCAAAGATGGACAGGTGCCAACAACAAATTTAAAGCAAACTGTTTATTGTGCAAAAAAGGTGATGAAACTTGGAATGTTTAAAAAGCTCAATCACAGTAAACTTATTTTGCCATTCATTTTGTGATTTTGCATTTTCTTCTGTCTGTGTTTTTGTTGTTATCACACAGGTTTTAATGACAGGTCTCTGATTCTAAATGGTCTTAAAAAGTCTTACATTACGAACCTGAAGAAACCCAGGATAAAGAAAGTATCTATAATTCCGGATTTATACCAATGAGTTCTAATGAGATTGTAAACATTGGAACAAACATGAAACTTTTCCTAACACCGTTTCCTCTAAAAATGAATGTAAACGTATGAGAACAACATGTTTATTTAGTGAGAAGTAGCTCTTGCTTTTGGCCACTGTGTGGACGGAATGCCAGGCTCTCTGAGGCCCCTGTTAAGTAGTGCAGAACTAATATAGCAGAATTTCAGGGAAGGCTCCGGAAGACCCTGCGCTACAGGTCAATAAAGCCTTGTTCAGACCTGTTCCCAGAGCAGATTTATTCTGCAGGAACTCACACTGAAAACAGAGGTAAGTGGCATAGCTTGAAGTACATGGCAACAAAAACCACGTTTAAAGCTCGTTAACGGTGTGTTTTGAAGCCGGGAACATTCACCTGCTCTATGGTGTACTTTCACACTGGTCCATTCATTAGAGCAACGCTTACATTCCTGACACGTGTAGAGTTTGCTCCAACATATTCCATTCTGTTAAAACAAATATAATTTGTCTCTTTGATCAATGTTTTGACACCGTTTTCTTTCCTGCTCCAGCAAAAACTCTCATCCAATCCCTGCTTGTGTTGCATAACCAGAAATTACACTGGGAGTGTGTGTCTGTGATGGGGCACCAAGCAGAGGGACCGTCCCAGTCATGAGGCGAACTCGAGCTCCTGAGAACCCAAAGAATAACTTGAGTAGCTTAATAATCAAAGTAACAAAACAAAATGACCATCTCCCAGAGCACAATTCAACTCCATGTTACGGCGAACTGACACTAAGCCTGGCTCCTTTGAAGCAAGCCCAATCGCGATTCCCTCTCCCCTGCTGGCTTGCTCTTACATTGCTCCTTTAAAGCTGTGCTGCATTTCCGTCGTTATGATGCGACTATTTTGAAAGAATTCATAAAAGATCCTTCTCGAACACCATGGAGTTTATAGCAGTGTTCTATACATTGTGGTACTTTAGTTTGATGTTCTGAGGTGGTAACTGGAACGATATTTTATTAACCTCTTAAGCCCGAGAGTCCCCGGTACCGGGGACTTGCCCCCTTGTGCGTTACATTTTCACTCATAGCTCACGAACCCTGAGCATAACCCACACATATTAAATACTGTTGTGTTAAGCGGAAACTCCTCTAAAAACGTATCTAATTCAATTTCATATCCGTTAACCACAGCTCGAACGCCATGCAAATAAACAACAACATGTCCGGAGTATAATTCATGACCTCGTTTTTGTTTATGTGCGATATGTATCCACAATATAAGCGGAAACACCCAGACCATTACATTAAATGAAAGCTAACAACCAGCTGAATCCAGTGATATGCAACTCATTAACATTGCATGAAGTATTTCAGAGCAGGGAGCGAAAGTTCCACGAAAAAACGCCAGCGAAACCAAGCAAGCATGTAAATCTTGTCTTACCTTTGCCGTTTTTTCAACAAAAAGTTATTTCCATAGCGATAAAGTCCGTTTGTTGTTATGTCCGGTCGATAGCTTCGCGAAAACTCCATTTTGTATTTTTTGTGTTGCTCCGTGGCCTCATGACGTCACCAAATATGGAATGACTCCCCGTGCGTAAGAGGTGGTCTCTCCACGCTGCGCGTCGTGTGATTCGTCGGCGATCCCGTCAGTCTCAAATTGGTTGTCATCATTGGCTGCCTCAGAATCAGAGCTTTCCAGCGATATATAGAGCTCCCGGATTGGACGGATGGTCGGGGGGTAGGGACACGCAGAAACTCGACGTCGAAAGCGTTTGTGAATGAAAGGTTCCCAAAAGCGCAGCAAGATGGGGTAAATGAGCTTCCACCCCACTTTTACAGCGTTTCTTTAGGAGTTTTTTTTGCTGAAATCATGTCCCGTAAGCAAGAAAAGAAGACTATGAACGTAGCTGAAGCTTTGGACAAGATTTTTTCCATATTTCAGTTATTGTGCCAAATTGTGCCAAACTGTGCCAACATGGATTACGCCTGAACTTTGTTCAATCAAAACCTTTACAGAATATTAGTTTCTTGTAGCATGAACACCAAACTTGCTACAGATGTCCTTGACATGTAGTTGTTACAATTGATTGTGTTTATTTGCTTCGTTATAAGTAAAATAAGGAGATATTGGAGGAAACATGTGTTTTTTTTTTAGGCGGAGTTCATTTTTTGGCCATTTCAACATCAATTACTCTTACCCAGTGTTCTTGACTGTCAAATTAACTCATCCACACCACGCCCCAAGAACCCATCTTCATTTTGCTACCAAGATTTGCAGTTTAGGCCTTGTAAAAGCTGAGAAATGCCTTAAAAAGTAAAAGTATAGGATTTTCGGAAAATAGGCCTCAGGGCTTAAGAGGTTAAATAGATAATAAACAGCTCGTACAAAATGCAGCAGCAAGACTTCTTTGTAAATGTCGTAAACATGAACATATCACCCCGATTCTGAAAGATCTACATTGGCTCCTAGTCTCTCAGAGAATTAATTTTAAAATCCTTCTTTTTGTATATTAATCTTTACATAATCTAGCACCAGCCAACATCTCTGAACTTCTTCATCCTTACTCTCCTTCTAGAACACTTAGATCTTGTAACCAGGCTAAATTAGTAGTCCCTCATGTGAGGCTCAAGCGCAGAGGGACATGGGCATTTGCAGTAGCAGGGCCTCAACTATGGAATAGCTCACCCTTAGAGATAAGAATGGCACCTTTTTTGCTCAAAACTGATTTTTTCTCTTTAGTGTATTAATTTTATCATAAAGAGGCTGTCAAGCAGGTTATTTTATTCTGTGTGTATGATTCATGGGGTATGTTTAGCGATTATGTTTTTCTGTGAAGCACTTTGGTCAGCCTGAAGGCTGTTGTAGATGTGCTATACAAATAAATTGAACTTGAAACACTGCACCTCAGTGTTTTACCAAAGTGTTCCCTTTGCAGACAAGATTCCTTCCTTAAAAGTAAGACGTCACTTTTTGTTGACGTCTGATTTGCTTTTCTGCACTCAGCTGCGAACAGCGACACGGCCATCGCGCTCAATCCACTAAAAAAGAAATATAATCCTATTTTTGTTTGATCTTGAAAAGGAAGTGCGTCATATCTTACGTAAGACAAAGGGATCTGACAAACGAAGGGTTAAGTAACACTGTCTGCATGTTTTAAGTTTAATAAAGCCAGAGTTTATGTTGAATGTCCTCCAACTCTTGCATCAAAGTCCTCATAATTATTTTTTGAGCATTAAAAAATAAAATAATTTTACCACGCCCTGGCATACTTGTTCCTAACGGGCTGGAGTCAAATGCTTGTGGGCACGACTGCCTGTTAAGAACACCCTTATTGTTGACCAAAACAATTGTTTATAACCCAATGGGCATGCAGACACACATGTATGCATTTAGCTGATGCTTTAACCAAGTACGACACTATGTGGGGGAAAGCAGCAAGTATTTTGCCAAAAAAAAAAAAGTTTACGCAAGTGCCAGAAAACATGTATTAGTCATAACTATTTAACACATTGCATCTTACCATTTGATAATGAACTGACATTCATGAATAATTATGAGGTACCGATGAGTCATTGAAATAGATTCGTTCAAATAGATGCCACATCTGCAGTAATTTGTTTTCAAACAGGAAGTTTAAGACAATACATTTATTTACAATCTTAAACAATGTTCGACACTTGCAAATATCAGAAAATCACATGATATTTACATGCAGGGCATCCAAACCCAAGAGGTTAATCCGCTCAAGCTCCATCAATCTACACGAGGCACAGCTTCCTGTGGCTAGTGCATATTATATTCAAGATATCGCTAACTAATTTATTACCTGTCTGAAATCAAGTGTCAGTAATTGAAATTATGACGAGACATACCTCATGATATCTCTAATTGATTGATCAGTAGTAAACATGCAATTGGAGAGATCACTCATTATACTTGTTCCCGGGGAAAATATATTTAGAGATCAATTTTAGATATCTGTAAAAAAAAATGTTCAAATGGAGGAGACTGTTGTAGACCTCTTTGTACAACTAGCCAAATTTAAATTCATGCATTTGGCAGACGCTTTTATCCAAAACGACTCACATTTGAATGAAAGAACACATCTTTTTGTCAGGTCTTGCTTTCCCTGGGATTTGAACCCTTGACCTTTGCGTCACTAGAACAGTGCTCTACAAACTGAGCCACGGGAAACACAAATTGTAGTTATCTTCAGTCAATAGTATAGTTGGGACTAGTCAAATAACAGTTTTAGATTTATGTATTTGAAATTAGGAAAATACAGTTGTGACTCACACAGAAAAAGTATTACTTGTCCAGAAACTCAGTATCATCATCCCTATGAGAGCTCCATAAATGTACTTTTGAGATTCATAGGAGCTTGGTTCTTCATCTGTTGTGGCCTGTCTCCAGCAGAATACGCTTGCTTTTGTTCACTATATAGAGCTAAGCCCTGCCAACAGTTGTGCCATTACTAAAACCCAGTAAAGACGGCATTCAGTTTAAACAATTATATGACGCAAAACAATGTAAAAATAGAATAATTTAATTCTCACAAAAAAGTTGATTAGTTGAGAAATTACAATCAAAAAGAGCAACTTGTATAATGTATACACTCATCCTATGCAGACTGATATATTCCAAGGGTTTATTTCCTTAAATTTTAATGATTATATCCGACAACTAATGAAAATTCCCGAACCAGACCCCAACACACCATAAAATGGTCCTTCTGAACACATCCAAAGCAAACACGCTTCATAGCCGCCAGTCCAACAGTTTGAAAGCATTTGCTGTCATGGAACCTCCCTTATACATCACTAGGTTATTAGCCCTGGTGGATGCCATGAGGTTCTGTCTCCATTCAGCAGCTGCATGTGAATGAATCCAGTCAACGGGTGTAGATTTGGAAGAAGTAACTGTTCCTCTCTGATGATGATGATGCACTAGATCAATCAGCAGGGCCTCAGTGCCAGGATACAAAGCCTGCCAGCCCACTGATGTCATCTAGGCTTCTGTGGGAGAATCGGGCTTCATTATTTCATCATTAATAGAATGAACTCCAGTTTGGCTTCCAGGCTATGGCAGAAACTTCCTGAGGGGTCGTAAAATTGCCCTTGTCTCCATCCATCATCCTCCAGGCTCTTCCTCCTCCTCTTTTTCCTTTCCCTTCACTCTAAGATCAGTCAAAAAAAGAGAGAAGCCACTAATTTAAAGCCCATCGGCTTCCCGCTCACTCTGCTGACTGCAAACGCTGTGCCTCAGGATGGACAACCGCTAATTAAATTTCCTCCTTTGCCTTTTTTGCTTTCCTTTTGCTCTCTTTTGGGTGCGTGTTTTGTTTTCATACCGGTTTTCCAGGCTGGACCATGCACAGGCAAAGTAAACACTTTTTTTCTTTTCTTGTCAGGATTTGGGGTGTATTTAAAGGCACATTCTCCCAAAAATAAACATTGATTCTTCAAAACCATGCTGTTCTTTCAGAGTCCATGTACTGACCATTTCAAAAACATACATCAAGCTTTTTGATCTAATTGTGTAAAAGTTTTAGTCAGTTTTAATAAAAAAAGCACACAGTTTTTATTAATAAAAGCAGGATGTGGTGTTTCTACCAGGCATCCAGTGTCACTGCTGGGCAAATGGGTGGAATGAACTTTAAAATACACCCAACAAACACTTTTTGTGAGTACCCAACACTAGATGCATTTCCCCAAAAATTCCATGTTCAGAATTGAATAATAACTCCCATTATTTGGATTCAGAAATTAATAATAGCTGCTATAAAGATGTAAAGAGATATAAAAGTGTAAATATCCTGGGGTTAATAGACTCACCACATGGAACTATAATTAAATGTTTTCTTGTGAGCAAACGGGGTAATAGTGCCCCCCTCTGGCAGTTGGTGCCCATGCCGACTACGTTCTTTGCACTAAAGGTATGGCACCACTGCAAGCGCCTGCAGAAATTTGTAAGCACAACCCAGCCCTTAAGTGGAACAAATAGCTGAATATGAAGTTTAAAACTAGGTGAAGAACAGCCAAACTGTGTCAGCAACATTCAGAAGCTGTTTCTTGTCAAGACGACATTGAGCACAGCAATAAAACACAAGGTACTTATACTGCCTCAACAAGGTCTCTCCAAGAAGATTTCAAAGCACACTGGGGTTTCATGATGCGATATACAAGTTCTTTGGAGAACAAAAAGGATCATGAGACAGTGATGATCGAAGAAGTAGTCAGAGAGAGGCATGGTGGAGGTTTTAAAATGTTTGGGGCTGTCTTTATGCAAATGGAGTTGGAGATTTGGTCAGGATTAATGGTGTTCTCAGTGCTGGGATATACTTATCGCTCATGACGTACCATCAGGGAGCATATGATTATTCTGCTGCAGAAAAAAAATTGAAACCAATGACCCTAAACACATGACCCACAACAGTTTAACATAAATATATGCAAGACGTTCAGGAAAGGATGGCAAGACACCGGGGTCTGATCTCAACATTATCAAGTGTATCTGGGATTACAAGAAGAGACAGACGAATGTCAGAAAGCTACTTCCACAGAAGACCGTCCTTCGATCTTAGCTGTTAGAAGGAAAACGGTCTTTTCTTCATACGCTGCATTTTGCTCATTGACGAAATTAAACAATTAACATTTACATTTTAAAGAAATGATGCAGTTAACGTAAGAAGGGCAAAATTTCAAAGCATTTTTTTTTACACAGACCATCATTGTGGTTGCAAAAGGGAATGTGAGGCTTATGTCATTTTTGAGACTCACAGTCACGCACACCATTCACTACAGACCCCAGCATGAAAACAGACATAAAACCCGTAATACAGACGGGCATTCAGTGCTTCCACCAGAGTCATTATCAAATAAGTGTGCTGTGGATTCCCGCTCAGTGATAATTTAATTCAGACGATTCAATAAGTCTACAGCAACACGAGGCTAACGTACACACAGTTAGCTTAATGACGTTAGCACTCCAGCGAGACGCGTAGCTTAGATGGCTTTGAAACCAAAGGGCTGCTCAGGGTCACCAAGAGGTGAGGGTCCATAAAGGTCAAAATATTTACAATCATCAGATAAAACCAGCACTTTTGCATTGAAGTTGATATAGATTGCTTTCTAGTGAACACAAATCCAACAAACCAATCACAAAGTCTCTGCTATTCCTTAATGTTGAACTAAAGATGGCCTTCAATGGTTGCTAGGGTGTTCTGTTGTGTTGCCAGGGTGTGAATCATAAGCCTCGCCAACTTGAAAGACGTTAGTCAACCCAAACAGAACATTGAAATCCCACTGATTGGATCTGCGTTGTTAGGTTATGAGACGGTTGCTAGGGGCAATAACAGGTTGCAAACAGTTCAGACAGGTATCTTAGCAGATTTTAGAAAAGTTTAATGTATACTAAAGTAACATATTTAATATGCAAGTTAGTACAACAGAGGAATCTTTTTATAACCGCGGCAGTTGTAACTACGCAAAAGTATCTAAACCCTAGGCTCCAGAAGGGGTTAAAGATGTTTGGCCATTAAAAATGGGATAAAAGAAAACAAAGACATCTTTAGGATGAAACAGAGAAATTAAAATTTGTTTATTTTAATCATAGTAAAAAATTCCACGTTTATGACATCACTGACAGCTCCCTAGCAACCAAACTGTTTAGCCTAGCAACCACATTATCTGAACTCGATCTTAGCTGTGGTAAATGACAGATACATGGGTTTTGGTTTATATAACTTATCGTGAGAAAAGGCAACATTATATTGTCACAGACTCCTCCATAGCAACCAGGCTGTTTATCCTAGCAACCAAACTGGCAGAACCATAGCTCAGATTTGGGAATTCATAAAGACATGGTGATTGATTTATATCCCTCATGGTGACATAATGTACATTGTATTCGGTCACTGGCTCCTCCAGAGCAACCAGACTGTTTACCATAAAAAGCAGTTTGGCACATACATATCTCAGCTGATCAAAATCTGGGGGTTGGTTTATGTTACTCATAGTGACATTGGGAATATTTTTAAAAATACCTTTAAACAGCACTTTTACATGCCAGCATCAACGTTTCGTACAGTTTTTCGAAGACTTTTATTTACAATTTAATACACAAAAAGAAAATATTCAGACATGCAAAAACAAAGTAATTAAATATTATTTCCTATACAAGGGCTGCATGATCAAACAAAACTCGCTTTTAGATGTTTGTCCTTTTCAACAAAAGAAAGTAAGGCAAGCAATGGATTGCAAGCACAACGGCGGCTTGAGTTTTTTGATTTCTGGATTAACTGTACCTCTACTGTACATAGACAAAAAAAGCAGGTAGGCAGCAAAGCATGCAGCCAGCCTCAGACTGAAGAGCATCCGTCAGCATAGAGTCAGATCAATGGCGCTCCTGCTCTGAGCTGAATGAGGAAAGCTGAAAGCCAATGACTTTAATTAAAGAGCAAGAACTCTTTGCCTTCATACCTCTCTAATCTACCCTTCCCTTCAAGTGGCTCTATGTGTGTGGGGGGTAAATTTCAGCTAAGCTTCAGAACTCTTTCTCTCTCAGTCTTTGTAATGGGATCTGCATTTGGCGAGCTTCGTTTATCCCCAGGCAAATAGAACAGCAGGTTTAGACTCGGTCTAGACCACATCGGTTTTCCAGCTCTTCCATTAACCCTTGCAGTGGGTAAAACAACCAACGTAAACGTCAAGCTAGCATTTATGGTTAGATTCTACATTACTCCATAGGAAACAAAACTTCAGAAATCATTAAAATATCTTCAATGCCTTCTGCAGAGGGTGAAGAGAAGTCTCCAAGTCCAGCATAAAAGCAAACAGTCCCCTACGCCTGGATATAAATGGGTTTGTATCTAATGGTCCCAGCCATTCATCCTGCAGCCAAAGACCAAAAGTAAACATGGGAAAACCAAGTTGCTTTGGGAAGTTGTGCAGATATGACCAGGAGGGGGTGCTCACACTGTGGTTTTTGGGGTCCTATCACCCCAGTGCAGTGATGTGGGCACCATATTGTAAAAATCCTTTACCATAAAATTTAGGATATTTGAAATCGATGATTACATTTTGAAGTTCTATATTGGAACTTAATTTGCACGTACGTGGAGGTTCATTTGTAAGTGCCATTTTGCGTTTGAATTTTGCTGCAAATATGCTTCCGTAGAAATAGGGCCATAAATG